TCACTCCATGTGCAGCCCTTCCTTCTAGATTATTAATTGCATTTAGAGGTAATTTAGGGTTCATTTGAATGTACACATGTGCAGCCACCTTTGGCACAAAACATGTGACTCAAATGAAACTCTAATTACTCCTAAATGTAATTAACATTCTATGATTCATGCTTTATTACTTAATCCTTCTAAATTCCTAATCTAATGGCCTAAATACAATGGCCAAGCAAATACAATGGAAAGTAAAAATTACAAGAATGAAAATGAGCCCAATATTGGGTACTAAAAGCCCAAAAGCCCATGAAGCCCAAAACTAGGTCCAATAAGCCTATAGCCTAAAATGCTATCCTAGATGGTCCAAAATACAAGACCCAAAATATAGAAAACCTACACTAACATGATATATACAAGACATAAGAAAAATATCTAAAACAAGATATGGCCCATGAGAAGCTCATCTTGGGCCTTCCAAGCCCATCGGGCCCATTGGGCCTTGATTGGCCCAAACCTTCATGTCTAGCCCATTCCTCTTGGCTCTTTCAATGTGTCACCCCTTGCCTTCCTAGGCATGATTCCATCATGCGGGGTAGAGGGTGTCACAAATTACGGTAAAATTTAAATTTTAGATTTATTTTTATTGTACGAATTCTCTTCGTCTTCTTCTCTATTCTAGATCCATTTTTCATTCTTCATGATTATGAATTTTGTTTAAATGGTTCCAGATCAAATTTAAAGATTAATTTTGGATCTAGATCTAGACCTAAAATAACCTAAATTGCCTAAATCAATCATTCACCGTTTTTGAATTTCAAAAAATTGTGAGATCTTGATTGTGTTTCATGTTTTTATGAAATTCAATAAATCTAGATTAAGATCTACATTTAGATTATGTTCATGTTGACTTAGGTTGATTGAATTTGAATTGTAAAAATTTTACTATAGTGATTGAAAATTTGAATCGATGTAATTTTTGATCTATTTATTAAGAACTTTTATTTTAATGGCTAGATCATTAAAATTCAGTCTATAGAAAATAAATTATTGAATAGAGTAAATTTATCAAGGCTTACTCTTGAAATAAGAGAATTCCTCCAATATATGTGTGTGTGTGTATATATATATATATATATATATATATATATATATATATATAT